TATTTTTTATTCTGATTGTTATTGTTATCGTTATATTTAGTTTGTTCTTTTTTCTTTGTATAATACTCTGTATAATAATTTTTTCTTTGTCTAATAAGATCATTCTGCTCAATTTGATGCAAGCTCTGTTACATCTTTAAATAGTTGTGTATCTAGCTAAATACCCTTACCAATGTAAAATGTACATGTATCGATGTAACAATTGCTGATGAACTTCAATAAATAAATAAAATAAACTCGTACGTGAGGTGTATTATAAGCTTCCGGAAGGAACAAGAAAAAAATACTATAAATCAGTGAGCATAAATAAAGTATATCATTGCTATAAATGGTCACAAATGAATTTATTCTTTCTCAATATATTCTCCGTAATGCACTTTTTCATACGAATGAACCAATTTTAAAAACATTTACGCCACTCCTCCGTGACAATCTTTGAAACATATTTTTCATACTATTCGACAGCCTCTTCAGATGACGAAAATCGTTGACCGCATAACTGGTTCTTAATTTTTGGAAATAAATAAAAATCAAAGGTACTGTGCGGGACTGTACGCGGGATGGCTCATAAGGTCAAGGTTGTTCACCTTCAAAAATTCATTTGTCTGTCTGGCCGTGTGAGAACTGTCATTATCGTGGTGCAAGATGATACGTCGTTTACGGTTATTTTTACGGAGTTTGTCAATAACTTCCGGCAAACAAATGGTCGTGTACCAATCACTATTCACGGTACAACGGTTCTCCAAAGTAACAGTAGCCACGTGTCCGGTTTTATTAAAAAAAGAAGCAATCATCCGCTTAGAGGCACTTTGCACGCGCGCCACTTTGGTTAGTTTCGGCTCATCTCGAAAAACCCATACGCTCGATTGCTGCTTTGTTTTGGAATCGTAACTATAAATCCATGTTTCGTCACCTGTTACAATGTCCCACACCAAATTTGACGCCTCTTCGTTGAATTTGGTAGGTATGGCATTGCACCAAGTGACGCGATTCGTTTTTTGAGCCTCAGTCAAGTTGTGTGGGATCCGTCGATAGTACAGCTTTTTCACACCCAAATATTTGTGTAGTTTTGATTGTATTTGACTCATGCCTATGCCTGAAGATGCTCGAATCTCATGGTATGTCACATGCCTGTCTGTTTTGACCATACGGTGCACAGCATCAATGTTTTTGTTGTTCACAGCTGTGGACGGGCGACCATCACGAAATTCGTCACTGAGATTCACACAACCGCGTTTGAATTCTGCAAACCAGCTATAAATAGTCATCTTGCATGGTGCTTCATCGCCAAAAGCAGTTTGAAGCCAAGCGAAGCTCAAATTAGCTATTAAATTACACTTGAAGTCGTAGAAAATCATAATACGAAAATTTTCACGAGTTAAATCCATGGTGAAGTAGACAACCAATTTCTAAAATGACGCCACAATGTAAAAACAAGGGACAGTCAGATGAAACAAACTGTATTCTACAGCCAAAGAGTTCCATTTTCAAATGTTGCAATTACTTTTTAAATATTGTATAAGTAAGTGGCCAGTTCCAGAAACTTATAGTGCGCCCTATGTATGTAACGAAGGAGTAGATTGCTAAAAGCTGCCATGGGTGGCACTGAAACCATTACTCCCATATCTACCTACATAAGATTAGATACTATCTCAGATCGAATTCAAAATTTTCCCTTAGGTGCTGAATAGGTTCTATTGCGCGGGTCGAACGGTAGGAACACTGGCTTTATTTTAGAAATACTTTACAAATTAATTTAAAGCCATTTGAAAAATGTCAAACGTACACTATACGTGTTCTATTTAGTTCAGTTGATACGAAAAAATCATTGGTATAATGTAAAGCACCTATTTAATACAGTGGTTTTCTATCGTGAATTTTTTAAAGAATCATATATTCACACCATATACTAATCAGTGCATATTCTAAATATTACTATATACTTTTTACAAAGCGATTGATTCAACACTTTCATTGTTACGGAATCAACCAAAGCCATTTGAGGTTGTTTCGACACTTCAGTCTTGATTAAAGCGATGCTCCCTATCAGAATCTTGGTTATACGGGTAGGGTGCTATAACATGTGCAAGTACAAGGACCTTATAATAATATGTTTAGGTAAAGACCCCAGCAGGCTTAGCATAAGTCCGAAAACAAAAGTTATCTCTTCTTCGATGACAGTTCCAAGAAGAGATAACTTTTATCTTCGAGAGAAAATAGACATTTCGAAGAAGAGATAACTTGGTCTCGTCTTTGGGCTCATGCTAAGCCTGCAGATCAGCCCGCGGATAGGGTTGTCACAGACCATTGTCACGGAGCTCACCCGGTTCTCGAAAGTGCCTAAGGTGAACGGCCCCAGGTGCACATACGGCACCCTTCCTATTTTCCAGGGTTGTTGCTGATGCAGGGTGCGGATAAATAAAATCAGCTTATGTTAAAAAAACGCGAACAATGTACATCCTTACTGAATCTGGATAAATTCATGATGCTTTCTATTTTCTTTAGTATTGTAAAAATTATTATTTAATGATTTTGTGACATTTATTAACAAAAGAATCAATCCGCATGAAAACAATATATCTGTCTAACTTAATCGTTCTGGAATTTTTACAAAATTGATTTAAAAACAACAGCTGAGCTGCTTTTTCGGTTTACAGTCTGTTTCTGGAAGGTTTGTAAATTATTCCAGCGTGCCTTCAAGGTCACGTCACAACCCTGTAACAACCCTGCAGGGGTCTATCGCCCGGAAGTCCCGCTTAATAGCTCGCTGAATATTTAACAGTTATGGCCAGGCTAAATAAGTAAGTCAGTCGGTAGAGCACTATGGGTATTTATTATTATACAAAACGGGGCACAGAGATATTACACAGATACTACGACGTAAGTAAATACTTATAACAGGAACTAATACAAAATTACAGCAGAAAAGACGCGCGCACATGAAAGACTTCTAATTCGATCCAGTGTTAGACGCGGACTCTTGGACACTAACTGGAGCGCGCGGGGGTGTGGGTCGGTAATCACGTATAAAACGGAAGTTACCGGAAGTCCTTTCGTTATTACCATATTTGGTCCTTAAAAATGGATATTTTAGCAAACCAAGGTCGATGGCGAGAAGCGCCATCTACATTCGCAAAGCATAATCTACTTCCTCGAGGATGGGTGGTCGTCGCGATATCGGTTAGGACGCTTTCTAGTACGCTTCGGGCGCACTAGATGGGGTTGACACGCTATACAGTGTTATATATTCACTCTTATCTGATGTAGACTTTATATTAAAATTAATATTAAGTATTTATATATATTACGATTAACATTTGTATTTTATAGAAGATTTTAAATATTGTTCACTAGATGTTAATATTTATCAATCAGTACTAGCTTTGTGTACATGTCGGTGGAAGTGTGGACCAATATTTGCACTGCGCGTCAAATTTTACATACTGTGAAATTAATGGCGTTAATCTGTGTTATATACCTGTTTCAATAAATAAATAAACTAAATGCCATACCCCGGTGTCATAGCAATAAATACTTGAAATGGAACTTGTATTATTAGGACTTGCATTTTGAATAAATAAATAAATAAATTTCGTTTGTAAAAGGTATAAATTCAGTAGATTTAGTGGATTTTAGTAGTGGACAAGAAAAATTCGCTCACTACTCTCGCTGAGGTTAAATTCAAACTTAATCTAAATAAACACACAAACACAAACAACTTATTAACTAATAAAACTCTTACACATTTAAAAACAAACAATAAACAAAACAGTTAGCACAATAACGAATGACAGAACAATGTGAAGGATTTATCGAATTTTGTTATTAATCACACAAACGATAATCAGCCGCGTTCGTATTTGAATTCCTACACCTGACTTATCGTGAAAATAACTAATTGTCTTACTCACCTTGAAAATAATATTATTATTTTATTTTGTGACTTAATCCAAGTCGCTGGATCGAATTGTAATAGGCTTTTAAAGTTAGCCACAGAATATTATCTCTACATTCGACTTTCGTGATTATTTGCTAAATGATTATCTCAAGTTAATCGTTACTTATTAAGATGTGACTGCTTATTATTTTCCTGATATTTCCAAACGGTTACATAGTCGTCCTTTAGTGGCAGTTGACAGCTTTAAAAGTAGTAAGCCTCGCCGTCTAATAAGCCATACTATCAGATCTTAATTTTTTATTTTTATTGTATTAATTCGTATCCAAAAAGCGACGCGAGGATTTCAACGCACCGAATGCCAAACGACCAATGCGCTGTCGCAATGTAACGCCTTGTCCGATGCGCACGCTTTCCGTTTCAACGCGTCATGTCACATGTAGTTCTAATTTATGTGTAGTACAGTAGTAACCAGAGAATAAAAAAGTAACGTACAGTCAAGAGCTCGTCAAACTTGACACTTGTTACTATGGACCGTTCTTATCGTAAGCGGCATAGAGTTTTAAATCTTAAGTGTCAAGCTTGACGTGCTCTTGATCCTGTATAATGCGGTCACCGTTCAAGCGTCGTAAAGCCGACGCAACGCATTACGTAAGCTATAAATTAAATCGTATAAAACTGTAACTACAAAAACCCGCCATTTTCTTTTTTTTTGACAGGTTTCGCATTAAACCGGTCAGAAAAATCTTTATTCCAACGTAATATGAGCTAAAATGACGTTACACGGAAGTCGCTCTTATTGCATGGATGTAAAGGTTTTTCTGGTCGGCTCAAGGCTATTCCGTCCCTTACCCTCATTTCAATTTCTTGCAGCGTTACCATTGTGACCCACTTTTCTCGCTGGCCAGTCAACCTGTGACCATGGAATAATATCAGGATACCAATAAGCCATAACAAGTGATAATCATTAATATGAAGCCTCGACCAAGTTGAGACACGATCCAACGGCATAAACAGCCTTTGTCTCTGACTACGCGTCAGCCGCTAAACGCAAAAAGCAGCAAGCATCAAAATAATGAAAGGGGTGGTATATCTAAAACTATACCTGATGACAGCACTTTCTCGGGCAGGGTACCAAATGGTAAATGTGGCTCACCGGGGTAGGCGGAACTGGGATGCTGGTTGTGCGCAGCATAGACAGCTTGCGCCGCTGTTCAGCCGAGAGGGACGCCCGGCGACTCCTGGCGATGCCATAGTCCGATGGGTCAGGGTAGTCGAGACTCAGCCCACGCACCAACGATGGGCGGAGCATGACTCAGCTCGATAATTAAAAACTTAGTTTGACAGTTAAAGATTTAGCACGATCTCAGTTTGAAAGTTAAATAAATTGACAGATAAAAATTCCTTTAGTTCGTAATTAATTTGGTTTTAAATTCTAGAAAATTTTAGCGATACTTTATTGTTAATAGTCATTGCTTGATATAGTAAAATATAATATACATAGCGTGAATTCTAACTAAAATATTATACAAGATTTGTATGATCATCTACTTTAACTATTGCTTTCTATAGTTAATACTAGAAATCTACATTATTATTAAAACATTTACTAACATGGTATTATAGCAACTTATATATATTTTGTTTAAATTTAAAAAATGACCCTAAAAGCGAATGTTAAGCGAATATCAAATAGATTGTTGTCGCGATGTAATGATATGAAGTGTGTTAGGAATAAAGAATGCTCTTGCGGATGCTTTAGAGTGCATTTTAAAACTGTGCAAGCTGCACGTTTGGGTCAAAAGTCTATTTACAGTAGACAGCTGTTTGCACGTGGTGTCAGTTTTTCAAATTTCGAAAAATTCCTTCAGACTGCACCCAAACCAACACGCGTCTGTTTGCCAAACCGGGGCTACCACTCGTATCAACTCAGCTACTGACCGTGGTACATCATGATATTGGGTAAAATAAACATGGCATTTTTTTTTATTTATAAAAAAATTAAAAGACATTTGTTTTATCGAGTTCTTAAGTTTTCGCGATTGTTAGGCATAAGAAATGAAACTATTTTTAATCGACTTCAAAATTCTTTCTGTTTTAATTCGGCTGTATTTTTATTTTTTTATGTACGCAACTTGTACGCAGTAACTCTGACATTTGTGAACCGATTTTGATGATTCTTTTTTTGTTAGAAAGTGAGTACGTCAATATTGGTCTCATTTAAATTTGAAGAATAAATTCCACCTCTAAGGGTGCAAAGTTAGGGGATCAATCGAGATCGATTGTTAAGGTTTTAGTTTCAGTTTATATGTACGCGTACTTCATAAACGTAATAAGTAAAGTATGAAATCGGTTCTTTCTTTTTTTTAATAATTTTGATCTAAATCGGCTGACACAACTGTGATCATGGGAACTGTAAAGGCCCCGAAATGTTGGTTAATTCTAAAAAAAATATACGCGATTTAAATCCGAAAACATAGTTTCATTTCCAATATTTGTATTATCAAAATTGTTTAGGACACCATGTGTCTGTAAGACGCATGTAAAGCTATTCCCCGACAAGCTGAGGCAAGCAAAAGATCCAAAACCGAACGTAATTATTTGTTAGGCCGTTCCATTTGTGTACTTGCCTTTGTTGGTTTATCGATTACTAGCCATCCATTATCAATGACAAATGTCTACAAATAGACAGCATAATAATAATGTAGGAGACAGTAAAGGGCGAGTGGAAGTGACAACAAACAAACATAATACGAAACCTTAGAAAGTATCACGGTGCCTACATTATGTACCCACAGAAGGGCTGATTAGTTGTTAATCGTGTTATGGAACAACTTGGACAGGTGACGTTTTAGTAAATGGATACCTATGCTAAATTGTATGCGGCGTCTTAAGTTCAAGAATGTTTGGAATCGTTATCTCATATAAAGCCTCCAAAGCACCGTGTACTTCAATATGTACATAATACGTGAAATAATTCAAAGCCATTATTAAAACGCCCAGTGTACGTTATATTGAAAATATCTAATTCAAAATGGCAAGCGTTATTTATTAATTTTGATGAAAAAAGGTACAATTCGGAATTTAATGTTCTATTTTCTACTTAAAGGATGGAATCCATAGTCTAAGATTTTCTACTCCTGCAATCTGTCAATTATAATATCATAAACTTTACAAACTCTCTTTTTAGTTCGCAATCAAAATTCTATTGTCTCTGGTACTCGCTATTGAGATAAAAAAAATCATTAAAGTACTGTACACAGAACTATAATGAGTTTCAAAAAATAACTTCCTATTTTTGCTAATTATATTTCAATTAGCTGACTGCCCCCTGATTGGCTAAATTGGCCCAAAATTGGTTAAATTGGTTTTGCAACCGGGCCATAAATCTTTATAAAAAAATAAAATGTTGGTCAAAATGCTATACTTGGATTTTCTTTCTCTTTGGTTGTTGGTGGAACCTTTGCCTACCCTAATAAATGGGATAATATTAATTTTTTTAAATGCGTTTGTTGTCATGGACTGTTATCACGGTACTCGACTTTATGAACCCTTCAACGATTGCATAAAATACTATTTTATTATCAGAGATTGAAATAAGACTTTGGATTTCAAGTAATACAAATGGAGTAGAAAATACCTCACTCATAAATCCCGGAATATAAATGAATAATTAAAAACCAAGAAATAATAGTTATATCGTGACTGATAAACACAAACTCTTTTTTTAAATACACTACCGATGTAAAGTTTTTTTAAACAACCTCATTAGAGAATTACCTGTATTATGAGTACCAGAGCAACAAATTTTACAACTCAGAACACCCAGACCAAAACCAGTTTCGAAAAATTAAACTACCGGAAATCGAACCGGCACCTGCACATCTAGCGTTTACAGTGCAAACCGTATACTTAAAAAAATATGACCAAAATACAACGCTATATTTTTACGCTATATTTTTTTTTTTCAATTTTGAAGGGAGGTATTATCGACCCTATGTTGGAAGTATCCTTGTACTATAGATATATGATAGTTAATTTAAAGATGAAATTGGCCCAGTACATTTTTTATGGTAGTTAAATATTTCATCTTAATGAAAATGTTAAATGTCTCAACTAACAAGAAAACAGATCGTTACTAAACTATTTTTACAGGTTTACGAGATAGATTGGAAATGAAATTTTTTATTATTTATCGTGATTCATATACGAAAAAATACGAGTATTTGTCCTGAATAAACGTGTTATTCATCTATCTATATATATTTATCAATTATTTAATTGTTTTTCACAAACAAACGTTTCAATCTCTTTAGGTACATGACAGCTGTTGGTTTATTTGAAAATATATACATATGCGATTTAGAACCAAAAAACACTCGATGACTATTTTATAGTTCACAAAAATCAACTTAGAAACAATTCCAAACATTCATGGTTAGTCCCTAAATGAAACTGAATGTAATTTTATATTTCCAATTAATTATTTCAGTAATCACCTTTTTCTTTCCATGTTATCCATCTTAAAGTCCAATCGATATACGTATATGAAAAAATAGCTTTAACTTCGACATCACCGTATAAAAACAGTTCATAAACTTATAAAAAGTAATTTCTAAATCTAAGTAAATCAGGATCAAAGTTTACGTAAATTCCAAATGCTCAATCGATTGTCGAGGTATATTTCTTAATAACTTTCGAAAACAAATCTACCATTTTTTTATTAACTCTATAATCACCTATGCAACCACCGATTAAAAATGCTTATAGTCGCTTTGTCACCTTAATTTTTTGCACAATTGTCACTTCTTAACCGACTAATTTTACGTCAATCACTTTTTAAATTTTTTTTTAACCAACAAAATTGAATTTTAATGGAGATTAGATAGGATTGTTTTTTATAGACCCTTTGTGAGGACGACGGGTCGATTACGTAGATTGAACACGCGTCGCGCCTGAAAAACCGTACGGCGCGTTTATATATCTACAGCGCAAACTGAAATGATCCGAAGAACTAAGCTCGGATGGGTGGAGAAAGTTGACTGAACGCCAGCCGTGTTGCACAATTATCTCTCTGACATTTTAAAATTGGATCAGACAAGCTGTAGACGCATTGCGAATGTGTAAATACTGGAGATACGTAGACAATGCTAATTATGCCAGTTGAGGTAAATTCGAAAACCTCGTAACTCTGTTTTTGCGCAATAATCGTAATCCCTTGTTTATCCTTCAAGCACAATTTTGGCAAATTAAAGCTTAAAATGTGATTTCTAGGCCAAAGGTATACGATTGTACCTTAATTAACCGGTAACCGATGTGAATAAAACTTGGCAAATAGATTTGTTTTTTATAATTTTAATTATAAAACAAAGGTATAATCATAGATTGTTATATAAAACGATTTCTAGTAATTCGTGGTTAATTCTGTGTTTTGTGTCTACTCTAAAGTTTTCATTAATGGAGATACTAGGTTTACGAATTTAACTAACGTTGTGTTATTGTATACAAAGTATCTTTAGACGCAGTGTCTTATATTTAATGAAATAACCTGTGGTGTAATTTAGTTTTCGATTTGTTTGTGATTTTGTTCTGTAATTATTGATTTGTGTCTCAAGTATGAACGTTTTTAATTATGTTTTCTTTTTTGTTTTTTTCTGTTTGTTCTTGTATTATGTTTTTCTCACTTTTAATTTTTTTTCTTGTGTTGTTTATTTCTTTTGTTTGTTTATTATTTTTCTGTGTGGTGTCGTTTGTGTTGTGCAAACAAATGAATTTTCTTTCTTCTTCCTTCTTTCCTTTTTATGTAATGAAAATCAAGGATTTTTTTCAATAAAAAAAATCCCAATAATAAAACGAATTACTTGAAACAATTTTGCCTCCATCTGTTGATGGAAAGTGACAATGAAGGGTGCACACCTAGATAATAGTATGCCTGTAATTTCACCAGCACCCTTACCCTTCAAAACCGGAACACAGTAATGCTGACATTACTTCTTGGCGACAGAAATATGTAAGGTATTATATGGTTATTACATGGCTGGTTGATGATAATATAATTACATAGTGTTAGCCATGAACCAGCTACATCTAATATTAATATTAGACAAAATATGGTAGCTGTAAAGTGCCCGAACGCGATTTAGATGCGAATATTTAATTTTCGATGCGGAGTGATCGAAACCCTATGAAGTCGATATCACTGTAAATTACTGTAGATATATATATACTACAACATTCAGGTTTTAACCCAAAATAACATTACCTATTGAAACTTACGTTTCAACACGTAATGTCTTTGGTAACA